TGATCACACAGCAACCTAGAGTATTCAACAATGGTAAGAAAATGCCAATACAGAATATCAGCTTGAAGTTATTTAAATAATAAAATTATATGTTCATTTTTGTGAAGTGTGATATTGATTTCGTACACAATATTTACAGAAAACAAGAAAAGAAATTTATATTTAGTAGAAATGATGTGAAAAACCGATGTACCATTAACCATGTAAACCTGATATAAATAATGAAATGAATAATCACTAGCAATGAGGAACATTTCCTGTCCCAATGCAAAACCAAACACTGCTTAGGGCCATTTCACATCACTGGGATTCTTGGCTTTCATTACTAATAAATATATAGAATGTACCACTGCTTATTTCTGATTTTTCCTTTCCAATCCATTAAGGTCAAATTTTCAAAGCTGGACTACTTATAGACATCCTCCTATGCACTTCACTGTTTTCACTACACAGACGAGAAGCACAGGTAACTTCAGGTCTGCATCCTTGAAAATGTTCTCCCTGCTGTCCTTCCCCAGGAGTTCCAAGTAATCCTTGATATGACTGCCCCAGTAAATAGAATTCACTGAACCGAGATATCCCACCCTGGAAGGCCACAGTTTCTGAAGTTGCACAGGATGGAGTATAACACAAGCAGCAGAGCCCCACTATAATCCTGCCCTCCACAACCACCTTGTAGAGTACAACTCATAGTAAAGAGTCCCTTGGGTATTTGACTTACTATAGGTACCTTTAAATTCGGTCCAAACTACCTGGCCATGAAGAATTCTGCTTTATCTTGTAGCAACGATACATCTGCTTGTGCTTGTGCTTAAAAATACACAGATTGAATCTCAGCCATGAAAGAACAGGTGAACTTGCTCTATTCTACTTTTTGAGCATCTGTTAAGCTGTAGAAGTCATTTTAAATTGCAGGTTCAGTAAAATGCTGATAAACCAACAGGCATCTCAAGACACACTTAAAAGTGATTTCTCAATGTTTGCCTGTTGGTAACCCGATCTTCTGAGCTTAGAATGTCCATGGAAAAGAGGGCACGTGAATCAAAATTCTCTCATCTCTTCTTTAACTTCATCTATTTAAAATGCTGCAAATCAACATTTTTCACAACAGCTAAAACTTGGTAGCAGCCCAAGTGCTCACAGATGGATGGATGGATGGATGGATGGATGGATGGATGGATGGATATGCAAAATATGATCCATTTATGCAGTGAAATATTATTTAGCCTTAAAAAGCAAGAAATTTTGACAGAAGCTACAACATGGATGAACCTTGAGAACATAATCTGCAGTGAAATAAGTCTGTCAGAAAAACAAACACTGTATAATTCCACTCATATGAAGTCCCTAAAGTAGATAAATTCATAGAGACAGGAAACAGAATGGTGTTTGCCAGGTGATGGGGAGTGGGGAATAGGGAGATTTGGTTTTGGGAACAGAGTTCAGTTTTACACGATGAGGGGTTATGGAGATGGATGGTGCTGATGGTTGCACACTATTATGAATGTGTTTACTATTACTGAACTTCACACTTAATGGTGAAGATGGTAAACTTTATGTCATGTGTATTTTACAATGAAAACAGTAGAAAATAAATAGCTGCAAGTGATTTGTGTATCTCAAAGAAAAGAATAAAGAATTTCAAATGAGATTATTAACTTTTATAATTAAAAGAGCAAATAAACTAGAAGAGAAATAATAATTAGGTGCTACTCAATTTAACTGGCTAATATCAGGAAAGAAGTCACATGGAACAGCTACTGGGAGATGAAAACAAGGCGAGCACAATTAGCAAATATTTCAACTTCATACTAATTATAAAACAACAGGTTTTGACTTAAGTAAAGAACTAAATAAATAATATGTAACATTAGACATTAATTTAGAAGCGAGCTTGTTGTATAATCTACAAATATAAACTAGTAATAATACGATACCTCCTCATGGTGGAGAGACAGAAGGTAAAATTAGAAGAACTAGGAGAATTCCCAGGTTCATGGCATAAGAGTGGTGCTAAAAAAATATTGGGTTCAACCCACAGACCCCGACCTAGCAATAGACGAACAAACGCACTCAGACACAGATATCCAGTGAAAGAGTAGGCTAGGGGTCTGGGCCACTCACAGATCCCAAGGAGGATACTGTAAAGAGTCAGCAGCCGTGGCCCTCACCAGATGGTGCTACAGGCATCTATTCAGTATAGATTTAATGACAAAGACTTTGAGTAAGCACGCTTGTGGATAATTAACATGGTCGCCCTCATGGAGAGCAGTCCTGTGAATAATTAAAGGCCAGGTTCCAGCCAGGCATGGTGGCTCTTGCCTGTAATCCCAGCACCTTGGGAGGCTGAGGTGGGTGGATCATGAGGTCAAGAGATCAAGACTATCCTGTTCAACAAGGTGAAACCCTGTTTCTACTAAAAATACAAAAATTAGCTGGGCATTGTGACGTGCACCTGTAGTCCCACCTACACCGGAGGCTCAGGCAGGAGAATTGCTTGAACCCAGGAGGCGGAGGTTGCGGTGAGCTGAGATCTCACCATTGCACTCCAGCCTGGGTAACAAAAGCAAAAATCTATCTTGAAAAAAAAAAAAAAAAAAGGAAACAAAGCCCAGGTTCCAAGGCCTAAAGCAAACACCATTTGTGGGTAATAACACTGTTGACCCACTGGTAGAGATAAGTCACCGGTCTGTGAATGTTCAAAGGTCGGTCTTAGGACCACATGAGTTAACAAGGTCTTTAGACAAATTTTCTTACTTTTTTTTTGTACCTAATCCTGCCTAATTGCCTCTGGGTAAGAACTGCTGCCTTCAGCTCATTCCTTCCCAAGCCTTTGCAAAAACCTCCTGGCCTTCCAAGAAGGTTTGAATCCTTTTCTCTATATTTTTTCTCTTACAATTTCTCCCACCACCCTGACTGAACTCCTAAAAAACTATGGGTGGGAAATAAACGGAAGAATCAAATGTATTGAACAGAACAGGTTTATCTTCAAAATAAGAAACAAAGAATTTTGAGCTACCTCTAAAGAAGGTAGACTGTGACATGCGTGAGTGAGGTTTTTTGTTTTCCTCCCTAGGTTCTTCCTTGAAAGCTACTCTTGAAGACTTCTGTTTTCTACTCTGGGATACAAAGCTGGAAAAAAACACTGTTCTCAGGCTTATACTTTTTAGAATTATCACTTTACATTTCTCACTTCATACAAAGCCCTAAAAGAACTGAGATCACAGAGCAACCACCTGACCCAAAGCCTGAGGGAATTCAGAAGGGAGAGGAGCAAGTGTGCTCACTTACCTGGGGTAATTATCATAATTATAATTCTACCATCAGAGGTGACAGATAAATCTTGATAAAATTCAGAGGCTTGAAGCAATGCTCAGTATTCACAACTACCAATTTCTTCAGCAGTTGAGATCTACTCTCTTTGTATCCAACCACCAACAAAGAGGAGTCCCAACACATCCTTGGTTTTGGGAACAGAGTTTCAGTTTTACACTATGAAGGGTTATGTATATTTAACCCCTTAAATCTTAGGTATTGGAGAAAATATGTGCCTCACTCAGGATTTCTATTTAGCTTCCTCCCTTGACTGACCTGCAAATCAAGTTGCTTTGAGTTGGCTGAAATCAAAGAATCCATTAGTAATTTTCCACTAGACTGTAACATGCTTTCTATCTTCTGAGTCGCACAATTCTAATTACCCTTTTGAGCTATAAATATCTATGACCAATCTTTTTGACTATTGAAGCCACTATCAATGAGAGTCAGCCTCTCTTTGGAGATTCTCCTCAGGGTTTTGGAATCATGTTCACTCTGACATAGCTTCTAATATAATGCCTATGATGTGATAAATAACTATTAGCTTACTCTGTTTGAAACTGACGTTTCCTCCAGAGAGGCCCTGAGTCTCCAAAAATAAAATGTCCACCTCCAGGATTTCTTCATTCTTTGTATGGTTTTTTGTATGTCTCGATTACCTGAAGTTCCACTCCAGTTTTGGTCATTTCTTGTCTTCCCCTCACTTTGGGGTTGCTTTGGTTTTGTTTCTCTAGTTCCTGCAGGTATAATGCCAGGTTTTTAATTTTATATCTTTCTGACTTTTTGATGTGAACATTTAGTGTTGTAAATTTCCCCCTTGACACGCCTTAGTGATATTCCAGGGATTCTGGTGTATTGTATCTTTGCTCTCATTAGTTTCAAAGAATTTCTTGATTTCCACCTTAATTTCATTTTTTACCTAAAGGCCATTCAGGAGTGAGTTGTTTAATTTCCATGTAATTGTATGGATTTGAGTGATTTTCTTAGTATTGATTTGTATTTATGTTGTGCTGTGATTCAAGAGTGTGATTGGCACAATTTTAGGTTTTTTCATTATTATTTTGCTGAACATTCTTTATGGCTGATTGTTTGACGTTACAGTATGTGTCATATGCAGATGAGAATAATGTATATTCTGTTGTTTCTGGGTGGAGAGTTGTGTTGGTGTCTCTTAGGCCCATTTGGTCAAGTATAGAGTCCAGGTCCCAAATATCTTTGTTGGTTTTCTGCCTTGAGGATCTGTCTAATTCTGTCAGTGGGTGCCGAGTTTGGAAATCTAAATCTCTTTACAGGTCTCTAGAAACTTGGTTTTTGAACTTAGGGTTCCTGGGTTGAAGGCCTATATGATTACAATAGTTAGATTATCTTGCTGAATTGAACCCTTTACTATTAAGTAATGCCCATCTGTGTCTTTTATATCTTTGTTGGTTTAAAATCTGTTTTGCCTGAAATTGGAATAGCATCTCCTGCTTTGTTGCATTTTCAAATTGCTTGGTAGATTTTTCTCCATCTCTTTACTGTGAGCTTATGAGTGTCATTATATATGAGATGGTTTCTTAAAAACAGCATACCATTGGGTCTTGCTTTTTTATCCAGCTTGCCACTCTGTGCCCTTTAATTTGGGCATTTAGCCCATTTACTTTCAAGGTTAATACTGATCTGTGCAGATTTGATCCTGTCACAGTGAAAATATGGAATGCTTTCTGAATGTGTGTGTCACCCTTGCACAGAAGCCATGTTAATTTTGTCAGTATTGTTCCAGTTTTAGTACATGTGCTGCCAAAGTAAGTTGTGAATGATATTTTGCCTTTCAGAATTGCCCTGTGAGTTTTCTTGTGAAAGAAAATGCTCTGTTTCAACTCCAAACTGGTTGGTTTTCTATTCTCCTGAGAGGCTTCTGAAGATGATTTGATCACCATTCTTCTTACCCATACCAACTGGAAATAGTAGAGGAAGGCTCCATCTCCCACAGCTCCCTCATACAACATTTGTCAATAGTTTGGGTTATCTTTCCCATTCCCATGCTTATAGCTATATCTCTGTTGCTCCATGGAGCAGATGGTGGTCTCGGAGAACCAGAAAAAATGGCCAAATTGCCTCGAGCAGTTTCTCCAAGAACAAGAATTAGACTCAGCTGAACAGAATGAAGTAGGAACTAGAGCAGATGGTGGGGACACTCTGTAAGGGGCATTGTCAATTAGTATCTCTGGATAAATGTAAGTCCCAAATAGGGGATTCCTGAAATTGTAAACACCACTTTCTTTTCAAGAATCTATATCCACTCTTGGGATGATACTTTTCTACCATTATTAACTTTAATTCCTCCAGAAACTATGGGTTATTCGGAACTTAGTGGTTCCGAGTGGTTATGAAGCCTTCAAGTGTTTAAGGGAACTTAATATTTAATTGATTTAACCTGTAAGTGATAACTGTGGAAATCTATTCAAAATGGCACTCTCAATTCCTTAGGGGAACTTCCTGGAGGGATAACTAACTCATTATTCACAAGTATTATATGGAAAGTTTTTACCTACAATGGAAGTCATTCACTTAGAAAAAGTGGTACAAATTCGTGAAATTAATGTCTGACGGATTGTTCATATTTTCCTATCTAGTCAGCATGACCTGGTTGTCATTAATACGGTCTTGGCAATCATATAGAGTATATTTGAAAGACAAGGGTACAAATTTCAAGCATGCCACTTGAGAAAGGAATGACCTTGGAAAAATCAGAACCCGTCAGTGTTACAGGGTTTTTTACATCTCTGAAAATGTGGATAATGATACTGAAACTGACAAGTGAAACGAGTGTATCTGTCATAGTTCCTGACATATAATAAAAGTTTTTATAAGTTTATTTTTTGGGCTTTACTTAAAATTTTGATGATACGATTGTAAGTTTTTTCACTATTTTTATTTGCTCATTTTTTAGTTAAGACTTTAAGTTTGTAAGTATTCTTAAGATGTGATAAAAAAGGAGAATCTTGCCCATACTACCTTCTGTACTGAAAACAGGCTGTACTTCGGAATCTACAATCCTAGACGTAATTGAGCATTCAAAACCCTTTATCAGTGTAAGGTTAAGTAATCATGTGACTAAATTCCTGAATCTAAAAAAACTTAGGGGTTTGAACTAGATGATCTTACTGTAACACTGCTATTTCTAAGAGAATAAATGTCCTCTTGAATACTGTGTAAGAGATTACTGAAGTATCTTTAAAAGCTTTGATATTTTTAAAAATATTTGTGAGTGTTATCTTTTAAAAATACATGGCTTATGTTCTTGCCTTCTTAAAGTATTCAGAATACATTTAACTATTTGTCGGTAAACCAGAATTATCATTAAAAATTATAATGTGGTATAATACTAATTTATCCCTCATTATCTCTAGATTCAAAGCTACAGAAATGTAAAAACCCCTTCCAAAATCTGAGAAACACAATTCTTTTACTGTTAAAATGAAGTGAGAAAAATAGTTTATCAAATTCTATTTTTTTAATCTGATAAATAACTGGGAGTTTCTTTATGTTTATGTGAGGTAAAAGACTGTAACTTTGATAAGATTTTTTACATTGTTACAATTACTTATGGAAATAATACACATTATAAATTATTATCAAATGTTAAACTTGGTATTTTTACAAATATACAGGAAGCAATGGGATTCTTGTTGACAAAGTTTGTTATCAAATTGAACTGGAGTCTGTTTGCCCAATACACTAAAACCAGGTATCCACACTGGGGAAAAGAAGTCTTTTATTTTTCAGGCCATCAAACAAGGAGGATCAGGCAGCTAATGCTTAAGTCCCAACCTCCCAAATGACTTTCATGTGGAGATTTTAAAAGGCAGACATACAGAGTTTACAGGCAAAATCATAAATCAAGAAGTGGAGACTATACACCGGTTTGACCTGAAAAGTCAGGACATCTCCAAGGGGCAGAGGGGAACAGTTCATAGGTAGATTCAAAGATTATCTGATTTGCAATTGGTGAAAGAGGTGATGCTTGGTCTAAAATTTGGGATCAGCAGAAAAGAATAGCTCTGGCTTGTGGGTGGGTGCGCTTCCTTCAGGTCCCTTAGGAAGAAATTTATAACAAAGAATGGTGGTCAGAGGTTAGTCCTCCATTCCTCCTTATTTGAGGTCTCCATGCCAGTGGACCAGTTTGGTCAGAGTCTGGGTTTCTAAAAAACAACTCAAGGAAATGTGTTAAGATGTTGTCTTCAGTTTTTATAGAAAACAAAACATTTCCTGACTCTAACTTCCTTGGATATTGTTTTAAGTTACTATTACCTTCTAGCTTATCAAGTTGCTCATTTACTTCCTAGGGCTAGCTAGGTTCCTGCAATTTCCCTTGGAGGAACTCAAGATCTTTATTTCTGTGCTTGGTCGGGGGATACCTGGCAGGGCCATAAGAGGGTACCTGCTCCATCTCAAGCTCGAAGACATAAGCATTCTATGAGATTCTGAAAGGTGTTAGGTCCCTGTCAGTGAAGTGAATGGGGTCAGCTCACTGCCAGCTCAGGCTCCATATGTAGATTTTCACATATTGTTTCCTCCAAGCATGATGTATATTCTGGAAGTTCTTTTCAGATACACAGACAAAGAGTAAAATTAATTTCTAGGCGCTATGTTAGAGTTTCTAGGGGGATAAAAAAAGGGCATTGTTTACTATTTCATTTGAGTCTATTATCACATTGTTTACTTATTTGTTATTCAGATTTATTCACAAGCAGATAATCACATTTCCTGAAACAAAACATCTAATTGCCATGAGTGTGGCATTTGAGAGGCTGTGGCAAACAAAATCCTTTCCAGATCACAATGAGCTAATCCCTCTTTTATTCCCCACTTTAATAGCTTGTGGTAAGAGTGAGCCTTTGAATTGTTAAGGAAAGTGGACCTGGTCCAGAAATGATGATTTGAATTATACCCCCTAGATGGAAATTGTCTGACCAGCACAAGAAAGACTGTGTTCAAATAGAAAAATAAATGTTAAATGTGGTAACTAATACCATTTTTTTAAGGATTTGAGGCAGGATTCCTATGAATCATCTCTATTTATACTTTTTTTTTTTTTACAGAGTTCAAAACATTCAGTTGCTCACATGGCCAAGTCACTTAGGCAGAGTCACTGAAGGAATCGCCTACTTGAGTAGTCTTTTTAGTTCTATATATTAAGAACTATCATTGTATGTTCCCAGCTCCCCAACTGTATAAATTAGAACAATTTCTTCATCCAAAGCAAAGTAGTGAAATAATTTGCCCACTTTTCCTTTATACCCATAAAGAGGAACTAACTTCATTCCAGAAACTTGGGGATTTTCTTATCATTTTACTGAAAAGTGTCCATGTGGGATTCACTGTACTCCAAGTTCAAAGGTAGAGGCCACCGCTCTCCTTGCCATGGTAGAGGGTCCAGGGAGAAACTCGAGGGATTTGTTTAAAGAAGGTCCATTCAGCATGAAGCTAAGGGTCTTTTTACATAGTTGTAGGAATTGATTGAAACTACACTTTTTTTGAAAAAGGAACGTCCTTGTCCCATCTTCAGCAAAACAAAATTAGCCTAAGGATGAAGCTAACAGCAAAGAAAGAGTCAAGAGAAAAGCAGGAAAAAAAGTGTAGAAGAATCACCCCGTATGTTAGTAAGAAGATTCAGTCCATTTAGTTTATCATTGAGATATAGTCTGTGTTAAATTTTCTAATACAGCACACTATAGACCCATTGAAATGTTTTAGTTAGAGATGTATTACTACATCTTATGCTTTAGAAAGGCCATTCAAGCCACAGATATAGAAAGAATTTGAAAATAACAAGGTTATAATCAGATGACTCTCGAAAACCTACTTCAGTAGCCCACATGAGAGAGAGGTGAAGAGGGCTTATTTGCAGGCAATTGATTCAAGATTCAGATATCAGATATGATGAAAAAAATGAAACCTATAAGATTTAATGATTTTTGACCCGGGGGAGGGTTCAGCCAAAAAGGAAATTATTATAGGCTTATCACTAGATTTCAGGGTTTTGGATACAGTATCTTTCACTAGACAGGAAATACCTAGGAGCCAAATAACTTTCAAGAAGATCTGGCCATGGCAATTTTGAAACAAGTGTAAAAAATATAAATGGAGATGTCAAGTAATCATGGGATGTACTCAACGTAACTTCAGGGATTAGAAACATGAATTGAGAACCATAAACACCTAGAGAGTCATAATAAAAAAAAAGAGTAAAATTCAGAGAAAGGACAAATATTTAATGTATGGACAGAGAAAAAATTATCCAACAAGTGAAATATAGAAAATGCCCTGGAAAGTAATAGGAGAACCAAGAGGACACTGTAACAGAATCCAAGGGGGAAAGAAGGACCAGGAGAGAATGAGCAGGATATGACCTATAAACAGAACGTAAGAAAAGGTATCAATCATTCATTTACAGATGTTTCTTAATCTCTGATGTGGGAGCTCAGTCAGGGTGGTGGCAAAAATATTAAGGGGAAAATATTAGAGAAATACTTTCTCGAACCCTTTTGCAACGCCTAAAATTTCTTTCATTAGTTCTTGCCTGAAGGCAGCCTTGCCCCTTAGTTAAATAAACGAGATAGAAACAAAGGAATTGGAGGAGTTCACGCAACTAACTTGTTTACTCCTGTGGTTCTAAAATTAGACTGTGATCGTTCCGGATGGCTTTCTCAGGGGGCTGTCAACCAGGAATATTACCCATTAATGGTGTGTGCTTTAGAACCAGTCCTTTCATCTTTAACCTCTAGTGGTGTTGACTCAGAGTT